GCATCACCTACTCAATGGACATGAGTTTGGGTAAACTCCAGATATTGGTGATGGACAGGGAGGTCTGGCAGTCCATGGGGCCTCAAAGAGTCAGACACGACTGAGCAACTGAACTGAATTGAACTGAACTGATCTAGAGCAGGCCCACATTCACTGTTGGCTCTCATGACCAATGACTTTGTACTAGATGTTTTATTTACATCCTCAAGCACCACAGCTAGGTGAGGCAGATACTACCAGTCTTTATTTCCATCTTGCACGTGAGGAGGCTGAAGCTAAGTGAGATAAAGTCCCCCTGCCCCAAGGCCTCACCACTAGGAAGAACAGCAACCAGGCTTCAAGCCCCTACCTCCCTGATTCCCAGAGCCCGTGGTCTTCCCATGATGATCCCTACACCCATACTTCTAAAATTTCCTCTGCCTCATTAAGAGCACCAGCCAGCTCAAGACCCACCCCACTCCAGCATCTCTACAGTTTCCAGGTATATAGAAAATGGTAGAAGATTTTGAAATGTGCAAAGGAAATGACTGGATATCCTCCCAGTGCAATTCTGGAGGTTTTAGGGATTGTGTAGGTCCTGTGTCTCATGGAATACAATTGATTATTGCCATGAATATCGACCAGTTTTTCCTCTTTTACTTTCATTTGTAAATTCATTTTAGCATTCCTTCCCTGACTATAAATGTGTGTTGAATTCTCCTTTGCACCAATTGGGATGTCTTTCTGATTTTCTCATGAATGACTTAAACCAAACTTTATACATGTGTTTATTTAAAACAAACATACAGGGAATTCCCCAGTGGTCCAGTGGTTATGACTCTCTGCTTTCACTGCTGAGAGCCAGGATTTGATTCCTGGTCAGGGAACTAAGATTCCACAAGCTGCGTGGTGGCTAAAATAATAATAATAATCAATACAAACAAACCAGGGCCAAGTCACATGGCTCTTGAAAAGGGGGATTCTTCTTCTAGGAATCATCCCTGTTCTGTGCTCATCCAGCCAATGGCCTACCCTGGCCTGAGAGGGGTTTGCCACAAAGCTACCCTTGGAGACAGTGGGAGTCAAGGGCAAGAATGCTGGTGGGAGGATGGGGAGACCTGCAGGATAGCTCTTGCATGTGAGTTGGACCACAGTGGGTGATACACTTAAGCTCTCCAAGCTTGTGCCCCTTCACATGGAAAGTGGAATCTGCAAACTGTAAGTCAAGGTGGCCTCTGGGACATTTTGCTTGGCCTTCAGGGAGAGCGGGCCATCCCTCAGTATGTCCAGTCAGCATATGCTGAGCAGTTGGGGCCTGCGTGTGATTCACTCAGCTGGCGGGGGCCCACTATCCCAGGCTCATAGTCCCAGATGCTGATTTATTGGCTGGGCTTTCTGGATCTGGAACAGTGCAGGACCAAAGAGCCTGCTTCAGTCAGGTGCAACTTCTAGATAACTACCGGGATCTGGGCAAAGTATGTGGTCTGGAAGGCAGGGAATGTGTCGGGTTGCTTCGGGGGTGCTTTATTGGAATTAGCCTGAAACCTCTGGTGTGAGCTCAGAACTGGGTTTCCTTCTTGGGTGTCCTGTAAAATCCTAGTGCCCCCTGAGGCCAAAGGGTTTCCACCTCACTGGGGGCCTCTGGATTCTCCCTGGTGAAAATGTGCACTGGGTGTTTTGCCTCAGGGCCCATGCTCAAGGGGAGCCCTGGGCTCTGGATGATCAGGTTATGACTCAGAGATACTTCAACTCCTGTTCCTTCTCCCCACCTCCCATTCAGGCAGAGAATAAGCTCTTTTTTCTCCTCTCCCTCAGCAAGAGCAGTGCCTAGGTTTGGGAGAGCTTACCTTGTACCTGGAACCATGTAAGCACTTTCTTCACTAACCCTCACACGACCCCATGAAGGAGGTGCCATTTTGTCATGATTCTACAGAAGAAGCAATGGAAGCTCAGAGCATTGAGGTGATGTGCTCAAAGGTCACATTGGTAGTCAGTTTGTGGAGTCTGGATTCAAATACAGGTCTAACTTTTGAAATGCCTCCTTGCTCATGTGATTTCAATGACACAATCTTGGGCAAGTGTGAGGGAGAGGGACAGACAAGGGAAGGAAAGGGTAATTTGCTTGAGACTCCAGAGTGTCCCATGGAAGCCCCAGAATCTCCTTGGAGTTAGGATTGGGTGGGACTTAGTGAGTTGCTCAGGGCACTGGGAAAGCAGCCCACCCCAGCTTGCAGTGATCCTCCCTAGCCATTGGCTACAGCAGCACAGGTCACAAAAGAGGGCTCCAGTGCTCTTTTGGGGATCAGGGAAGAATTCATCAGAAAACACTCTGGCCTTTCAAGCAGAAAGTGGCATCAGAGGCATCAGAGACATCAGAAGCAGTTTAGAAAGAGCCTAGATAGATGAGGTGGATATTTGCCACTTTTTTCTGGCCACCTAATATTGAAAGCCTTTCCTCTGTTTGGGACCCCTGACCTGGTCTGTTTTGTGCCTCTTGTACCTACCACTGCTGAGTCAAAACACAGGGCCTGCTAGCCAGGATTACTCCATTACACATTTATTGCTTGAATAACTGGGGTCAAACTCAGGTCTGACTCTAAAACACATGCTTTAAAAATTTATTATGAAAATTTTCATACAGACAGAAGTAGCATAGTATAATACTACTATATATAAAATAGGTAAACAACAAAGACCTACTGCAATAGCACAGGGGACTATATTCAGTATCTTATCCTATAATGGAAGAAAATCTGAAAAGAATATATGTATGTACATGTAATTGAATTACTTTGCTGTACCCTGAAACTAACACAACATTGTAAATTTACTCTTTGTTATTGTTGTTTAGTCACTCAGTCATGTCCGACTCTTGCAACCCCATGGACTGTAGCCCGCCAGACTCCTCTGTCCATGGGATTTCCCAGGCAAGAATACTGGAGTGGGTTGCCAGTTCCTTCTTCAGGGGATCTTCCCAACCCAGGGATTGAACCTGCGTCTCCTGCACTGCAGGTGGATTCTTTACTGCTGAGTCACCTGGGAAGCTACTTTAACTTAAAAAAATAGGAGAAAGAAAAAAATTAGAATAATGTAAAACCCCTGTGTACCCATTACCAGATTCAATAGCTATCAAGATTATTTTCATGTTAGCTTTATTTATCTCTTTCTTTTTCTCTTTTCTTTAAGGCCTTGCCTTAATATTTGGAAGGAAATCCCAGGTGTTATATCATTTACCTCTACATACTTCATGACACATCTAAAAAAATTAGGGATATTTTTATATCCAATGACAATATTACCATTGCCCTTAACCAAACTAACAACAACTTTAAAACCATGCTCTTGTGCACTACAGGCTAGCTTCTCCATTCTGCTTTCCCAGCCCCCAGCAGGAAGCATTTCTTAGGCATCTGCTCTGTTCCTCCTTGAAGCTGGAATTACAGTTTGATGTGTATTGGGTACTCACGTGTCCTCTTAGGTAAGCAGGGGGCCTAACTGCCCTCTCTCTGTTTTCTCCAAGGTCACGCAGTCAATTAGTAGCTGATGAATGAGACTCAAGCACTGCAGCTGGGTCTATACAGCCCCAAACACAGTTTGCAATGAGATGAAATGAAGGGACCTCAGTCCTGGGGACAGTCCTGCATGGTTTCTGTTGCTGTTGAAATCCTGACACTCAGCCTCAAGCAAGTCCTTCGTCTGGAACAGTTTGATCATGACCCTTCGGGACTGCCTGATTGAGGGGCTCCATGGGGCTCCTAGGGCTGTTCTTCATCTGATTGGAATGTATCTGCCGCCTACAGCCAGGCCTGCCACAACCTGGAACTTCTCTCCTCTTCTTTCCCTGTTCTAGAGCTGACTCAGAGGAGGGTGGGGTGCTCATCTTTCTTCTCTTTCTAGGCTTTGACTTGCTGTCTGCCAAAGCAGAGGACTCAAAGCACCACAGGTCAAAACAGGGCAAATTCAAGAAGCAGTAAAACTAGCTCCGCTGCTTTTCTGTTCTTGCTCCCTTCTTTTTTCAGAGACTTGACTTAGGTGACCGGGCTCTCCTGAGCTTGACCTCCATTTCTAGTTCCTCAAACCTCTTCCACTCCTCTTAATCTCCCACCCAGATTTCTCAGATAAATCTCTCAGAGCATGCATTCCAAAATGAAAATTGACTAGTGCAGAGCAAGAATCCTGGCTGTGGGCCGGTGGAGGGTTGATCAGTCTGGTCCAACTGGGACAACAGGAATGAATCACTGAGTATTTAAGGGAGAAGGAATTCAGTGCAGGGAATTGGTTGCCCAGCTGATGAGAGAGCTTCAGTGCCAAGCCAAGGACAATGAGGCTGCCCAGAGATTAGCCACAGCAGGAAGCTCCTACACTAGAAGTGAGGGGGCTAGGTTGCTCGGTGGAAACTGGAGCCACAAGAGAGACACAGTCACCATGGGGGACATCACATGAGGCAGGGAGGGAAGGAGAGAAACAGTCCAGCTTCTCTCTCCCTCCTGCTTTCCAAGTCCTGCCGGTGCCTTCCATTGGCCAAACCCACCGGAACCTGGGAAACAACCTGCAGGGGTCCACTCATCCTGCTCCCCTCTCTGTCCTCTCCTGCTGCAATACCAGCAGAGAAGGGAAGAGGAAGGGATGGATTGTGGGCAAACAGGCCTGGGAACAGCAAGAAACTACTGATTGGTTATATACTCCTCCTTCCGCCCCCCACCTCCAACGTATTTGGATCTAACAGGGTCTATCTGTAAAAAGTGCTTTTACCCAAAGTCGACAAGAAAGAGGGTTGTAAGTAGGATGGTGGGAGTGGAGCTTGAACCTGCTCCCTTGACTAGCTACCTGCAAGTCTTATCCAGATTCTACCTGGTTCTTTTATTTCGCCTCCCCCTGCACACACCCTTCTGCCCTCCTCCCACCCCTCCACCCCCCTAACACACACACACTCAGAGTCCAACAAAGATAGGCCACTTTGCTTTCTGGCAACGTGTGACACATTTATTAGATCCCAGGACCATGTAAAACCAACCTTCTTGCCTGCAGGATTTTGGCTTGGCAGCAAGGCTCTGAATTACAATGCTGTCAGGCTGGTGAACCTACTGGTATCACAGTCCAGAAAACATACCTCCTGATTCTCCAGGTGTTCAGCAAGTTCGAAGGTGAAGGTGAAGGGAGATGCCTGGAGGGGCAAAAGAAAAGCACCGAACTACATGCTTTCCACCCTCTTTATCTCATTTCATCTTCACAGTCTCTCAAGGTAATTGCCCTTCTGCCTATTTTTTTTTAAATAAAAATATTTTAAACTTTGGAATAATTCTAGATTTATGCAACAGTTGCAAGGATAACCCAGTTTCCCCCGATGTTAACACCTTACATAACCATCTCAGGTCTGTTTTTACAAATGAGAAAATGGGGGCTCAGAGAGGTTAAGTGATTTGCCCAGGGTCACAGAGCAAGGACACAGCAGAAGAAACAGACATAAATCCAGGTCGCTCTTCTTGCCTTACACCTTTAGGTTGAATTATTTGTTTCCATCTCATTAGGTGGGAAGTCACTCTCTGATCCCGGAGCCCTTCATTTCACCTTGGAGTTGACTTGCAAACTTTTATCAGAAAGCACTTCTTCCACAGAGCCACAGAATGGTAGCACTAAAACGTATGTCTGAGGCCATTTAATGCAGGGAAGGCAAATAAACTTCATCTCACTTGCCAACTTTAATTGAGCAGTAGAGGCTATTTGGGATCCGGCATTGAGAATGATTCTGTTTGCTCCTCAGGAACGAGTGCTGTGATTGATTATTGATGCCTGTCTTGAATGTTGATTAGGAGACTGGAGGAAGTCATGTGATGCACTAGCCACCCTTCAGCAAATCTCCACATTTTACAGAGTGTCTGAGGTCAAGAGAGGAGACAGTGTCTTTGCCTCATTAGTGGTGCAGCTCAGAACAGAACCCAGGCTCCTGACTCAGAGTCAGGTTCTTTCTGCTTTACAATGGACGCACAGTAACAATAATAACTACCACTTGATGAGTGTCTGCTCACTGCCAGGCACGAAGCACCTTCCAATTTCCATTCCTTACCTTCAATCCTCACAATAACCCTGTGAGGGTGGTATGCTGCTGCTGTTGCTGCTGCTGCTGCTGCTAAGTCGCTTCAGTCGTGTCCAACTCTGTGCGACCCCATAGACGGCAGCCCACCAGGCTCCTCTGTCCCTGGGGTTCTCCAGGCAAGAACACTGGAGTGGGTTGCCATTTCCTTCTCCAATGCATGCATGCATGCTAAGTCGCTTCAGTTGTGTCCAACTCTGTGCAACCCCATGGACAGCAGCCCACCAGGCTCCTCTGTCCAGGGAATTCTCTAGGCAAGAGTACTGGAGAAGAGTACTGGAGAAGCCATTTCCTTCTCCACTGAGGGCGGTATATTTATCTCCAATGTACCTAGACTTGGGGAAGTTAAAAAGAACTTGCCTAAGACCCACAGCAAGCAAATACTAAAGCTGAAATTTAAAGAGAGACCAGTCTGGTTCCAAAAGTGTAAAACCTAGGTTCCCACTTCCTACAGACATACTGTTGCATTTGCCCTCACAACCTATAGCAGGTGGAGATGACCCTGGTCACATTGACTTGGTTAGCACTAAACTACGTTTAAAAAACCATCATTTTTGTTCTTACTAACTTTCTAAGAACATTTGCTTACAGGCCCTTAGCTAGATGGAACTGATTTGTTTAGGCTGTTTCATGTTAGATGTGTTAAAAATTGACATGTTAGGAGAGCTGACGTGAAAGGTGACCTGGTTCCCTTGCAAATAAATGATTAATATAACCTCATTGTGTGGCGAGACTGTATTACTGATTCTCTTACTCGGGAGGCTTAGAAAAACAACAGGTCAGACACTAATATCCATGCTAGCATCAGACCATAGTGTGGGATGACCATGGATGAGTCAGGGGGGGTCAGAAGATAATTAACAAAGAGGGAGCTCTATGAAGTCCAAAGAGAATTTAAAAAACGTTCCTTCTCTAACCTGACTATCTGAGATTATTAAATAGCAAAGGCAATGAATAGGAGAGGGGGAAGAGGTGGGTTCATTCAAGTGATTCACTAAGATATTTTAAAGAAACTGACAGGGATCAAAGCTCAAAAGGGAAGACATTCAATTCAAATGACCATGTTACAGCAACTCCACAGTGATTAGGGATAGATGATATGTGGCTGTGGCCTACACACTTAGGGCAGCTATGACAATACTACACACCCAAGTTTTAGCAGGATAGTGGAGAATTTCTTCTCTACAGCTATGAATACAAGTTAGAAAAATGCTTCTGTAAAACAGTATTATGTGCCACTGTATACATATCTTGTACGCCAGATATTACTGTCAATGTCAGGCTGAATTTTCAAATAGCATGGAAGTCTCCGTAATAGCAAATGCATCAATTATCCACTTATAGTCACTTCAGTGGCCAAATTATTCTAAATATGAGGAATCCCTTCCTAGAGACCCCATTGTGACCTTATTTTTTATGGCCACAGGGTCTTTTGAATGTCATCTCTCTTGGCCCAGAGGTGTCACTCAAGAGTCCTCTATCCCATATGACTCCTCCAGGGTAATTTCTCACTAATCCTTGCTGTTCCAGCTCCATCTAAACCTGCCCTGTTCTGTTACTCAACATATGCTATTCTCTTCCCTTGGAATATACTTTCTTTTCCTGTCTGCCTAACAACTGCTACTTGTCCTTCAAGTTCTACCTCAGTTTTCTTCTTTGGGAAGGTTTCTCAGTACCCTCAGGAGTCTCCTCTGCCCTCTTGGATCTACCACTTTTATAATGTGTTCCATCAAGTGACGAGTATGTTGTATCTTTGCCCACTAGAATGTGAGTCCCTTGAGAACAAGGACTGTTATTATTATTTTTTTTTCATGTCTGACTCTCCAGTATAGAAGGAGAGGTTCAGGGCTTGCATGTTGAATGAATGAATGAATGTCCCAATTATCTTCAGAAGCTATTTCCAGGGCTTTCAAATTGGGTCTCCCTTTTCTGCCAAGAGGTGGTGAGAACTGGCCAGATGGATTTGATACGTAATGAGTTCCTACTAATACCAGGCATTGTGCTGAACATTTTACATGCACGATCTCATGTCTGAAAGAGATGTTTCTAATGTCCATCTGTATTTTACAAATGTTGTTGCTGTTCAGTCGCTAAGTCATGTCCCACTCTTTGCGACCCCATGGACTACAGCATGCCATGCTTCTCTGTCCTTCACTATGAGGAAATGTAAATTCAGAGTAGTGACTTGCCCAGGGTCATGTTGCTGGGAAGTTGCAAAGCCATGATTTGAATCTAGGCTGTTGGTCTCCAGTGCCTTCTCTCCTTTTTGTGTATGGAGGGTGGGGCCTCTTCTGGGTAATTCGGTGATGGTGACATAAGTCAAGCTTGTCTTTGATGCCTTCAGGCTTGTAAGGTGTCTCAGGGACTCTGTGCCACAGTGTCACCCACCCCTGTAGCCGCTACTATGGGGCCTGTCAGGTAGCCTATCACATTGGGAGCTTTGTCCTTTCCCACTCCTCTGAGACTTTGACTTCTGGGCTATGCTAAACTTTTCCAGAGCACATGTTTACATGTTAATGGTGCACTCCCTGAATGCAATCTTTAACCCAGGGGAAAGCGGCCCCTGTGTAAGCTGTGGGGGGGCCTCTGGTTATGGGGAGCGGGGGTACAAGTTGTTCTGGGCATCTCTTTCAACAAACACGTGGGGGCCCCCCCACATTCCCAAGGTGGTTGGTGCCTCCCTCGGAGGGTTGAGAGCTCTGGAGTTAGACCAAGGAGTGTTTAAATCTGGCTCCACCGTTCCAGGATGAATTGTGTCATTTGTCACAAATTACTTAACCTCATTGAGCCTCCCATTCCTCTTTTGTCACATGGATCTCATAATACTTCTCATCTCCTGGGGAGGTTGTGAGGATGACATGAGACAACACAGCAACTGTGTGTAGTACAAAATATTGTTGTTGTATAACCACTCAGTTGTGTCTGACTCTTTGTGACCCTATGGGCGACCCCATGGACTGTAGCCCGCCAGGCTCCTCTGTCCATCGGATTTTCCAGGCAAGAATACTGGAGTGGGTTGCCATTTCCTTCTCCAGGGGATCTTCCTGACCTAGGGATCGAACCCGCATCTACTGCACTGTAGGCAGTTCTTTACCACTGAGCCACCAGGGAAGCCTGTAGTACAAAATAAGCACTTGAAAAATGTGAACTCTTTCCTGAAATCTGTTTCTACTGGCTCCCCCACCCCTGCTCCTGCCATCTAGGTTTTCCTTCCCCTGTTGCTTCTTTCCTTGCCTCGCCAACAGGCATCCTTTTGGAAACTCTTCCCTTCCTTTCCCAGTGCCTCCCTCTGGCATCCTCAACCTTTGGAACAACTAGCTGTCAGAGTTCCTGGGGCTGATCCTGTTTCTGGATATTCTCTCCTGCTGTCTTGAGTGCACGAGCTGATTTGAATTCAGAAAGCAGAGTCCATTCCTGCGAGGAGTGTCACCACAGTCCATCTTACATTCAAATGGTGAAGGCTGACTTGATGGCCCCACATCGTTATCTGATGGGTGTTGAGAAGGCCTCCCCCCTCCGACCCCAGAGACTTCCTTCTGGCCTGTGAGTAATGCCACTATCTCTACCATCAGTGGACTATCCCTTTGAGTCCAACTTCCCTGGGTGGTCTGGGGATGGGTGGGCCAGGCAGGGTTGTTTTATGTATCTGAGTGCAGATTCCTTGATCAGAGCCTTTCCTGTCAGGGGAAGGGGAAGAAAAGGTTAGAGGGAGCTGACTCCCCAAGGAAGAGGAAAGCCAGGCAGGCAGGGGTGGGGCGTGGGGGGTGTGTGTGGGAAATCAGCTGATGGAAGGCTGTGTGTCCGGCACAGTTTTGCCTAGGGTGGGCCCTGTGTGCTGCAACAGATGTGAACTTTGGAATCACCAAGGTTGGGAAGCCAGGCCTCAGAGGGAGTGGTTGGAGGCTGAGCTCATCCTGAAATGATGTGGGCTTAGATTCTCAGAGGGCAGAGAGGAGGACCAGGGAGGAGGTCATACTTTGGGGGGTATCTAAAGACAGAGAGTCTTGGTGTCCTTCAGCTCTACGTGTAGGTAACACCTGTGGATAGGTGGGTCTTAGTAGAAAATGCCCCCT